CCTTGGTGAGAGACCAGAATGCACGGGTTCCCGAAGGAAGGCGAACTAGTTTCTCGCCAATTCTGCCTATGTGCTCTGACTTTGCCTTGGCAATAACTCTTTTGAAGGACCTGGAGGCGAAGTTATACTTCTTTTTAAGTATGCTGGTGTTTACATCCCGAGTCGCAGAAGCCGCAGCCCAGGCTTGAACACTCCTGTTTACTGCGTAAAGCAGTCTTACAGGAGCGACCAAACCAAGGCTTAGATCTGCCTCCGATGGGTACCACAGATGATGGAATAAATAGTTCCATTCCCTGTAGCACCACATCAGTGACAGAGACAGCAACAGCGCTGGGATCATCCGGCGAGAAGCAAACCCGCCCCCATGGGTAGGAAGCAAAGAAAGACCGCATTCCGTCCCAATCCGCCGACCTGTAATGCCAAACACGGCGGCAACCTGCAGAACGCAACCGCGAGGGGAGCGTGAGTGGCACCACACTCCGGATCAGACAATGGTCCGAAGAGCCAAGGGGGGCATCGACGGAAACCTGATATCCGTCCGGATGAGAGGTCAGCAGAAGGTCCAACAGGGAAGGTGTATGATCCTCAAAATCTGGAATCCGCGTAGGCGATGTAACCAGTAGTGTCAGACCATATGCCAAGGCAAAGTCATAAACAGATCTCCCCGCATGATCGGTTAAACGTGAACCGAGCCACTCGGCGTGGTGGGCGTTAAAATCGCCAAGGATCACGATCTCTGCGGATGGGACCTGTTGTAGCAAGGAATCTGTAGCCATTTGGACGTGGTCAATGAGTCGGTCTGTTTCGGCATTACCGCTATGGGACCTATAGAGGCACCCGTAGACGCGCGGATGGTCGTCGCTGTCTACGCGTAGCCAAAGGATGGACAGGTCCGAACCTTCAAGACTGCCGAGGCGTCGAGAACAGATGTCCTCTCTGACATACACGCAAACTCCAGCCCGAAGCACAAAGGAGTGCTCCAATTTGTACCCCGGGTAAGAGAGATACGAAGTATCAGCCGGAGAGGACACCTGCGTCTCGGTCAGAAAGAGCAAGGCCGGCTTCGCCGTCTCAAGATGGTAGTGGACGACGTTTAGGTTCGAGTGAAGTCCCCTGATGTTGCAGAAATTCACGGATAGCGTGGCAGGGGTCGCCTTGGTGTTCTTGCTCAGTTTGCCCCTAGCAGTTATGCTTTTGAGCGGAATTTTGCCCCCCCCAGAATACGCGGGGCAGCCTGAGCACCCACACTCAGGATCGGAATAACATGGTCGTGGATGCTCAGCGAGGGATTCTCCAGGGATACTGGTACCCTCCTGGGGTATTTCATCGTGTAATTCCGCTACCATGTTGATGGGGGGGGGGGGGGGGGGAATTGGGCCTCCGGTCACCTGCACTCACCAGACGAAACGCGGAAGCAGAGCTTTCACTTCACGCCGGTATTCTGTGAGGTCGTGGTACTAACCCGGGTCTAGCCGGCCCATACGTGCAACAGCAAAAACTGCTGCGTGGCTCTACCACCGTTAAATTAAATAAATATATAAATTTATAATAATTAAAGTAATAAAATACTCATTTTTAATTTTTTCCAAAAATCTTTCAAAACAGAGTGCAAAACAATGACGTACAATCCAAACCACTTGAAATAGAAGCTTACTGTAATCATGTATGTAGGCACTATGAAAGGATTTTAGAGAATTCAAACCCTTAGAGAGTGAAATAGGGTTACAGTTTGTATGTTTTTATTTTACGAATGATTTCATATTTGTATGGAGAAATATATTGATAAATGATTTTAATATTTATCAAAATTTTAGATTAAATAAATATTAGGTCCTTACACATGAAATTGGCGTTTTGTACGGAATGAATACATAGTTAATTTTTTTTTGTAAAATATATTTAGGCAATTAATCACAGTATGCACCGTTGTTATCTGTGCACTTTTGCCATCTCATAGGTACCTAGTTCATTGATCCCTTTACTAAAAAAAACCATGGGGGTAAGAATCAATAAACTCTTTGAAGGTGGTTTTGACTGCCGCATCGGAGTTGAATTTTTTTCCTTGTAAGAAGTCGTGCAAATTCCGGAAAAAATGGTAATCTGTTGGAACAAGGTCCAGACAGTAGTACGGTGGATGTCGCAGACATTCCAATTGTAGCTCATCGAACTTAGTGGTTGTTTGTTGAACAGTGTATGGTCTTGCATTGTCGTGAAGCAGCAGTGGCCTAGAGCGATTGACCAATCTCGGTTGCTTAGCAGCTAGTTCTTCCTTCATGGTTTGCAGTTGCTGACAATAGATATCTGCCGTAATCGTTTGACCAGATTTTAGAAAGCTGTAGTGAACTACACCGGCGCTATTCCACCAAACACTCACAAGTAACTTTTTCTGAGACAATTTTCGTTTAGGGCAGGATTTGTCTGGGTCTCCAATGGGTTCAGCCATTGCGACGAGCGCTTCCGATTATCGTACAGTTTCCACTTTTCATCACAAGTAATGATTCGATTTAAAATCTTTTCATTATAGTGTCGGTTGAGCAAAGTAACACTGCAATCGACGCCTGTTTGCAAGTTCTATTCACTCAATTCATAAGGTACCCATCGTTCAAGTTTTTTTACTTTCCCGATTTTCTTCAAGTGGATTAATACAGTTTTATCACTTACCCCGAAGCCTGCAGCTATCTCTAATGTGCTTTGTGATGGATCCTCTTCCACAATAGCCTTTATTTCTTCATTTTCCACTTTGGTTTCCGGCCGTCCACGGGGTTGGTTCTGAAGGTCGAAATTTCCAGAACGAAAACGTTGAAAACAAAAACGTACCGTGCTTTCTTTTGCGACACCAGCGCCGTATACAACATTAATCCTTCGAGCTGTTTCTGCAGCACTGGTGCCACGGTAGAACTCGTACTCGTAAATACTCACCGGCACGGAAACTTGGCCACTCGTGAATTTGCTGATTATTTGCACTGAAACGTTTTTTTAACAGTAAATTAAGGGTAGATGCATTCAATAAGTGTCTCTAATGGTTTTAGAACGTAGAAATTTAATGTTTACTTCACCGAAATTTTTCTTTTCAAGATAACATGTTTTCACTAAAATTAACATCTTTCCATTGTCACTTTAAAAACACTACAAAGTTAAAAATTAAGTCTGTTTCTTTATTGTCTATCAGTTTTAATATCGGGTGTTTCCTCCCCTAGCCCTGATAACCGCTTGCATTCGATCTGGCATGCTTTGAATGATGTTTCTGACATCAACTTGCGGTATGCTGTCCCAAGCGGCCAGCGCTGCATTTCGGAGCTCATTTAGAGTTTGTGGCGGTTTGGAGCTGGACTTTATCTTTCTTTTGAACATACCCCATACATGCTCAATTGGATTTAAGTCCGGGCTACGAGCTGGCCACTGTAATTTTTGTATTCCAACCTCTTCCAGATATTCCTCTACACAATGTGCGACGTGCGGGCGTGCATTATCGTACATGAGGAGGAATTGGTCGTGTCCAATGAATCTCGAATAAGGAATTACGTGCTCCTGAAGAACTTCCTCGATGTATCGAGTAGCTGTAAGCCGATTATCGACGATGACCAACTCTGTACGTGCGTCGGAACTTACACCTCCCCATACCATTATTGAGCCTCCATGGAAACTCACAGTTTGGGTGGTGGTAATGGGTAGAAACCTCTCTCCTCTTTTTCTCCACACTCGTTCTCGACCGTCTGGAGCACGTAAAGCTATTCGACACTCATCTGTGAACAACACTCTAGCCCATTGCTCGTGGGTCCAATTGACATGTTCTCTTGCGAACTGAAGTCGGGCTACTCGGTGCTGTCTGAGAAGTTCTGGACCTCGTGCTGGTCTACGAGCTTTTAAATTCACTTCCTCCATTCGTCTTCTCACCGTACGCTCACTAACATTAACGCCTCTTGCGATTTGGAGCCGCTGGCGTATCTCAACAGCGGTCAGGTAGCGGTTTCTCAAAATCTCCATAACAATAAAACGATCGTCCCGGGCCGATGTGCACCTTACGCCCCCACTGCCTGGCCTGCGGGTGTGGCGTCCTGTCTCCTGGTATCGTTTCAGTGAATACTGCATTGAGAACCGTGGTACGTTAAGCACAATAGCAACTTCACGCTGTGTCAGCCCTTGGTCAATTAATGCTACTGCTTGTGCAACTTGTGCTGGTGTTAATGGCATTTTTATTGGCTTTAAAGCACCTTTAGTTATTGAACTAAGACACAAGATCACAATAATTGAATAACCTTACAGTAAACTTTTCACAACACACAAATTTAAAATGTGAACTTAGTCGCTCAAATGACCCGATTCAACTAAAAATTAAAGAATTCGTCATGGTGCACTTAAACATAATGAATTACCCTCTTGAACTTGAGAGCAAACATTTTTTGACATACCTGCATAACAAACATTCATCAGAAACACTTAAAGCTTTTGCTATCGCGAGATAACCGCTTGGCCAAGATTCCGTGCCGCTGAGGTATATATACCGATATTTCATATTTTTCATTGTGCGGTAATAAGCGACGCCAAAGAAAAATATAATGAGGAAAAAACAAATGAATGACTGTTTTCAAAACTTAAATGTACAAGCTAAATGAATTTATAAATTTGAATTTGGAATTCTTAACCAAAGAGGAGATATTTCAGATCAAAGTGGTCAGTACGACAAAAAGCTAATTTCATATGTAAGGACCTAATAATAAATGATTTTTGTAACTTTAAAATTGGTACAAATACTTTTGTCTTCTAAATCTTACCTTAACGTGTTAAGACGTGAGTACAAAGTTTGCATGGAAAAATGGGTTTTTATCACGCTAAGTGGTGGGAAACAAAGCTATGATAATTATTATGAATAATAATGCAGTTTTTTTCGATTGTGGATTTGTGAATAACTACAAACTCAAGAACGTAGATAATTCGATTTTTTAACTCTGTGGAGTTGTGTTAGGAGTGCATGTTTCATTAAAAAAATAATGAGTAAGTACCTTTTTAGCTTCTCGCCACTCAAGACTGCGAAGACGCGCCAAACCTTTAAGATTTCTATCAAGTATTTTTAAGAATTCAGCTCTGGTTATTTTCGGCGCCTCCGTAGTTCCATTGCTAGCAGCAGTAGCATTAGAGGTTGGTGTGACGATCTGTGAAAACAATTAAAATATTTGATCGAAGCAAACAACATACCATAATGAAGGTACACCACAAAAAAGATATTATGTGACTGTCATACACAGTGCCAAATAGTTTAGACTCCATTATTTACACACTATACTATAGCATAGTGTCCGATAAATAATGTATAATCCGACAGGGGCTTGCATAGGCTGCAAGGCCTACCAGAAAAATATATATATCCAGGAAGAATTGGAGATACATGACTTTGAAAAAATAGCTGGTACCCTTGATCACTTTATTGAGTACTACGACACCAAATTGAGAATTAGAAAATAGATTTTTAAGTGAAAACTTTTGAATGAAGACTTTTGAAGTGAAGACTTCTTTATCGCGATAAAAATCATTAAGATATTTTTTAAGTACCTTAATGATTTTTTAGACTTGCTATCGCACATTACAATTTATTAACAGATGTTACCGAAATTATTTCTCATATTTATGTAAATACCACACATGGAACAAAGCCAAATTTACGAATTTTATGATGCGGCACTTTTTTGCATCCTATCCGTGGCGGCAAGTGTGCTTTTCTTCGGATGAAGCCTACTACTCTGCCGATGCGTTTGCGGACGTGATACGACAGGGAATGGAATATTTTATTCCATTCTCAGACATCCCGCTCGGTCACAAGGCTCGGCCTTGATATTATTGCGGACTATGATCGTGCTGAGACCCGAAAAGAGTCCGCCTACCACACCTGGGTTCTAGCTCGCCATCGCAAAGTTAGTTCGCGAAGGGTTCGTGCAAAGAAGAGAGCTTTTAATATTGCTACCAAGTCCCGTAAGCGGATTCTCACCAACATATCAGTCGTGTAGGGGCCAGACTTGCTTCCTACCCTCCTGGTAGTAAGCAATTTTGGTCCCTGTAGAATCAAACTTCTGCCGTTCCTCATTGCCAGCCATGCAGTAACCTGATTTTGTTTTGTACATACATGATTGTAAGTTGTTATTTTTTTTTAAAGTCCCGCTGGGTTTATTGCCGGTTCTTCCCAGGACAGAGGTTTTTTTTCTCGAACCAGTGGTAATTAAACAAAATAATGACTTATAATAGTAGTAATAGTATTATTTATAATCTATACTGAATAAAAAGTTTTTGTTTCTGTTTCTGTTTCTGATGGAATACTGGCTCACTCTGCGACTGATAAAGCGATTTTATTTGCATCTCTGTTTGTGAGCAATTCTCGTCTAGATGCTGTGTATGTCACGCATTTCTGGAGCGAGGCTATCGAGAAGAAAGGTGAAGCTCTAGCAGTTTCACTCGATATCTCGAAGGCTTTTGACAGGGTTAGGCACGCAAGTCTGCTGACTTAGCTTCTTGCTTACGACATCCCCGGCGAATTTTGTAATTGGATATCTGATTTTCTGAGTGAACGCTCGATCGAGTTAGCCATAGATGGCTCCTCTTCTGACCTAATGCATATTAATGCCGGAGTTCCTTATAGGTCTGTTCTCTCTGCGATTTTTTTCCTGCTACACATCAATGACCTACTTCTAACAGATATTGTTGGGTATGCAGATGATAGCACAGTCATAGAGAGATTCATATCTGGATATGTGCAAAAGACAGAGGGGCATACACGTTAATTCAGAGAGGCCATGGTGGAGCGGATAAATGCGACCTTAAGACTTGTCTCCCAATGGGGTTACGACAATCTGGTCACTTTCAACGCCGCCAAAATGCAGGCCTGTATGTTCTTCCCAAAACGGATTCCATTTAATCTAACTTCTTCTTTCCAAGTTACATTTGTAGAGGTTACTGATTATCTCGAGCTAACATTTTGTCAAAAGCCCGAACTGCTGTCAAAAAACCGGCTATTCTAAATAAGGTGAAGCGATACTTCACGTCTGGACAGCTTCTAACTTTACACAAAGCGCAAGTTCGAACATGATGGCTCAGCAACATATCATCTCACTCAGTGACCAGTGGAACGCAGAACCAAGAAACTTACCGCCCACATAAAGCTGGTGGAAAATAAGCTTCACAGCTTAGCTCACTGCCGTCAAGTTGCTTGTTTGTCGGTCTTCTATAGATTGTACTTCGGAATGTGTCTATGAGCTTCATAAGCTCACACCGCCGTCTGCATTCTCCTGTCGAAGTACCAGACGTACTGCAGATCCACCATCATCCACACTTGGTTGATATTCCGAACATTCGCGCTAAGCGCTTTAAGTCATTTTTTATAATGCGCACCGGCATTATGTCCGGAGTAAAATGCTCTACCAGCGTCTGTTTTTCCGAGTTCGTATAACATGAACCTCTTCAAGGTGCGTATGAACAGTCTTCTCCTGGGTAATTTCGCTCCATCTTGGACTTCATCTTTGCCCTCTAGTAAGATGAAGGTCAAACCCATTTTTAATTAAAAAAGTTTCTAATTTTAATAGACAAGATGGCTGGGTTCTACTATCTGCGTGGGATCCCATAATTAATAAAATTAAATCTAAACCCAAGCATATTACTGCAAGAATTCAAGATACTGTAAGCTCGTTTTGCTTAGATCGGGCCAAAAGTTAATATTTAAAAGTTAAAGGTAGGCTACGTTAACTATGACATCAGGACGTCACGTTTGTGACCACAGCTTTCTAAACCTGAATCCTTTGTATTTTTACTGCAGCTGCCTTAAACAAAAATATTGAGAAATAAAAAACACAGCTGTTTAAGAAATTGAAAAGGTACGTTTTTTTTTTATAGGAGAGGGGGCAAACGAGCATGCGGCTCACCTGATGGTAAGTGACTACCGCCGCCCATGAACAACTGCAACACCAGGGGAATCGCAGATGCGTTGCCGGCCTTTTAAAAAGGAGTACGCTCTTTTCTTGAAGGTCCCTAAGTCGTATCGGTCCGGAAAAATCGCTGATGGTAATCGATTCCACAAGGAGGTCGTGCGAGGAAGAAAACATCTTCTAAATCGCACAGTGGTGGACCGCCAATCATCCAGATGGTGTGGATGGTATCGGGAGTTCTGCCGCGATGTGCGTTCGTGAAATTTGGCGGCTGGGATTAATCCGAACAATTCCTCAGAGCACTCCCCATGGTAGATGCGAAAGAAAACGCAAAGGGATGCAACATCTCTTCGCAGTGCCAATGAATCGAGCCGATTGGAAAGGGCTCGGTCGTCGACGATTCGAGCAGCTCTGCGTTGGATGCGGTCAAGTGGAAGGAGCTGGCACTGGGGAGCCCCTGCCCAGAGATGGGAACAGTATTCCATGTGAGGCCGAACTTGCGCCTTGTAAAGTTGCAGGCGGTGTGCCGGCATGAAATACTGTCCCGCCCTGCTGAGCACGCCAAGCTTTTTAGAGGCCAATTTGGCCTTCCCTTCCAAGTGACCACGAAACTGCACGTCACTCGATATGTCGACTCCGAGGATACCGATACTGGCTGAGGCAAGAAGGGGAGTGCCTTGAAACTGAGGAGATACGACAAAGGGGTTCTTTTTAGCGGTAAACGCGCAAACTTGTGTCTTCTGAGGATTAAACTGGACTAGATTTAGTCGCCCCTAATCCAAGACTTTGCTCAGCAAAGACTCGACTTCAGACACAAGTTTGTTCCGGTACTCAGCGACGTTTTCCCGAGAAATATTGGCACGGCCGGTGTATAGAGCATCACCAGTGCTGTCATCCGCATAGCAATGAATGTTACCAGTTAGCAACATATCATTGATATGCAGAAGAAACAGCGTTGGTGATAGCACACAGCCTTGTGAAACACCAGCGTTAATAGGCTTGTAGTCAGAGCATGCACCGTCTACAACGACCTTGATGCTCCGATCTGCAAGGAAGCTGGTGATCCAATTGCACAATTTCTCGGGAAGCCCATAGGAAGGGAGCTTCGAAAGAAGCGCTTTGTGCCAAACCCGATCGAAGGCCTTCGCAATGTCCAGACTAACGGCCAACGCCTCCCCCTTGGACTCTACTGCCTCCGCCCATCTATGGGTCAGGTAGACCAGAATATCACCAGCTGATCGACCCCGACGAAAACCGTATTGGCGGTCACTAATCAGCTGGTGATCCTCAAGGTACCGGATGAGCTGGCAGTTAATAATGGATTCCATTATTTTGGAGAACAAGGAGGTGATCGCGATAGGCCTATAGTTGGATGGGTCTGAGCGGTCGCCTTTTTTAGGGATCGGGTGGACAAAAGCTGTCTTCAATGAATTCGGGACTACGCCTTGAGAGTAGGAGTACCGGAAAAGACGCGTTAGGACCGGTGCCAACTCCGGAGCACACGTCCTCAGCACAATTGGGGGGATTCCGTCAGGCCCACTCGACTTCTGGATGTCCAAGGAGAGCAGTGCTTTGCGAACCGAGCGCTGTAAGAACAGCACATCCGGCATGGAGCACTCACACCGCGGGATGGTCGGCGGTGTTTTCCCCCCGTCATCAAGAGTCGAGTTGGACGCAAAAAGGGAGCCTAAAAGGTCGGCTTTGTCTTTTGCGTCATGGGCCAGTGAGTCATCCTCCCTGTGCAGAGATGGTAGTGACGGCTTACAGAAATTCCCTTGGACAGCCTTGGCGAGAGACCAGAATGCACGGGTTCCCGAAGGAAGGCGAACTAGTTTCTCGCCAATTCTGCCTATGTGCTCTGACTTTGCCCTGGCAATAACTCTTTTGAAGGACCTGGAGGCGAAGTTATACTTCTTTTTAAGTGTGCTGGTGTTTACATCCCGAGTCGCCGAAGCCGCAGCCCAGGCTTGATAACACTCCTGCTTACTGCGTAAAGCAGTCTTACAGGAGCGACCAAACCAAGGCTGAGATCTGCCTCCGATGGGTACCACAGATGATGGAATAAATAGTTCCATTCCCTGTAGCACCACATCAGTGACAGAGTCAGCAACAGCGCTGGGATCGTCCGGCGAGAAGCAAACCCGCCCCCATGGGTAGGATGCAAAGAAAGACCGCATTCCGTCCCAATCCGCCGACCTGTAATGCCAAACACGGCGGCAACCTGCAGAACGCAACCGCGAAGGGAG